CTAGCCCATTTCTCCTCACTCCCATGAACTCCCTTCCAGATGAGATTGTTCATGATATCTTCATCCAAATTCCAGCCGTTCACGTTCTCCAATGGCGTCACTGTTCCCGTCGGAACTACCGTCTGCTGCCCCCTCTATGCATTACACTTTGACGACGATATCTATCACCAAGCAAACCAGTTTGATGGTTTTCGGTTCTTAGAGACCAAGGAGCACCAAGAAAAGGTAGAAGCAAAAAAGACAATGTATACAACCTCGAAGATTTATATGACATTCGGACACGGAAGGCACGCTTGGTAAGTATCACCTTCTACACCCTATCCACTGTTGCACCCACTATTTTCTAAACCTGGTTCTGATTCTGATTCTGCATAGCCCCGGCAGGTTCTTCGCGTCTCTGGAACTGAAGGCGGTCATGGCTTCGCTAATACTCGACTACGACCTCAAATGGCCGGACGACGCTTTGAAGGAAGGGCCGGATGGAAGGTACAGACCCAAAGACCTCTGGTTCGCAGGACGCCCGGCGCCAAATCCTACTGCAAAAATCCAGATTCGAAAGAGGGCTGCTAGGGTTTAGTGATTCAAGATCGCTCCGCCACCTATCCGAGTAGTTCGAAGCTGCTGAGCAGTAGAACATACAATAGAAAGAGGCAATGTATATGATTAGGTTCATCCTGGGAATCTGTGCCTCTGGAATAAAGTCATATCCTTTGTTTCTTGCTTTGAAATATCAGTCCATGTTTTATTATCGTCCCTAGTCATGGCAAAACGGGAAAATCGTTCTAAGATGGAGAATACTATGTAAAGTAATTACATTTAATCTTCGCAAGCTAATATCATACTAACGTAAGGTTCGTCAATCCTTGACGTCGATAACAAGGTACGTTTGGCCACTGCGCTCCCTGTGAGACAAGAGCAGAAAAGCAGGTCACATTCTTTCACTAATCGAAACAACTTTATCATCTTCTTTGTACACTTCAGCCTTATTTTATACGATAAACTACTTAGAATCAAGGAGACGATACCAACGTCCTTAAGATAATATCGACTGAAATCTTCACGCTTTGGCGCCTTGATATGGAATCCAAAGAGATAAATTCAAGACAAATGAATGAATTGGCATCAGGAAACTATGAGACGTGATAATGGGGGATCCACGAGGGAACGAAGGTGCTCCGACGAACCCTTATCTTCAAAGCACTGGCAAACTATTTCTCTAATAGAAGGACATTTCTCTACAATGTTCTCGAGACCAATCTTCAATGCGTGAATGCATGTAGAATCATCCCAAACTTCGATACCTGGCCGCCAAATCACTAATCTACGGATGGAAGGGGGGAGTGCGTCGAAAGAAATGAGCTTTCCGTTCGGATCAGCACCCGAAAATAAGTCAATAGAGGCTGTTAGATACTCTAGTTGGGTGAATTCGAGAAGCATGTTGCCGAATGTCAAATGGGTTATCCCTGTGGGAACAAGCTCGCGCCAACATGCTAGTCGTATACTAAGCGTGCGCAAGCTTCTTGCATGTTGACGCAGAGATTGCAAGAATTTGTGATGAAACCATTCTTGTGGTCGGTCGTCGAAATCATCGAAAGGTATACATGGCTGTAGTGCAGGAAACTCGATGGTAGTCAATCGTTTGGGCAACTTGAGGATCAATTCAATTAATGACCATCTCATGCGTCCGATGGACCGAAACAATTGGACGTTAGAGGTCCCTATCAGTTGGTCGACGGGAGGGGCCTGTATCTGAAAGATTCCCCTCCGAAATGCCAAGCCTGTGCAAAAGAGAAAGCTTGTAATGCCGGGTTTCTGCAGCCAAAATATTGACTCGAGAAAAAGGGAGCTTGGATAGATGGATACAGGCCACAGTCTCCGGTTTATCATCCGAATATTCGGTAGAAATTCTTCTGTAGGCCCAAAACCTTTGACCAATGGCTTCCCAGGACACGATGCCAAAGCATCGAAAAGATTATCGGGTGCACAGAAATAAATCTCGAGCAAGTTCGTGAGAGTCTTGAAAAGGATACAGAGAATGGCAACCTCAGTTCCACATTTCAACCAATTCTCCTCCTCTGCACCAATCACGCCATAATCCATCCCACAGGGGTAGTCTATCCAGTTGTGAGTTAGCGCCGCATGTAAAATATCTGCATAAGAGTTGTTTCCTTCAGCCTTTTCGTCTAAGTATCGATTGATGGTGAGTAGGCCATTTTTCCATTTCTCCGGATCCGCATAGTCTTGACGTTCCTCGGAGTACCAACTTATTCTGGCGTATCGAGCATACTGAGCAAGACTTGGGTTGAGAATGATCGACCGCAGAAACCGTCTCAGATTGACGGGTGCCATGATACGGATTTCCTTGTAAAGGATTGGTTGCATGATCGAATGGAAGCGTTGACAAGCCATGACAACCTTGGTTCTGTGAATGGCTGGAATTTGGATGAAGATATCATGAACAATCTCATCTGGAAGGGAGTTCATGGGAGTGAGGAGAAATGGGCTAG